CACATTTAGGCTCATCCTGTAAAATTCTGTAAAAAAAACTGGACGAATATTGTTAAGGATATGAGCTTAACACCTTTGTCAGCCACGCAAAAAAAATAGGGTGAGTGGGACGGGCCCAAAGGCGTTACACATTTTAAGTATAAAAATACAAAATATCATGGTAATGCCCACTCCCACGAAATCCTGCAAAAAAACAGGGCGGCGGGCATATTAAGGGATGCAACCATATTACTGGAAAAAAATAGTGCAACAATTTGTAAATATTGTTGCGTGATTTGGAAAGAATCACGGCTCGATGGTTTAGCATCGTGGCGTGATTTGGACATGTTTCATGCATTCATAATTTTAATTGAATTTTGATGACTTCAAGGTTTTTGAGAGTTCGGACAGAATAGTTTTTCATTGTTCAAAACCAACTTTCATCTCTAAATTCATGTATTATTCTTTTAAACTTTTGACTATGAATAATTACATTATGAGTAGTTAAATTTCTTTTGGTTAGACATTCTAGGTGAATTTATTTCCAACTATTTGAAACATATAATTGTAAAGTATTATTCTATAACTTGTAATTCTAGTATTATTTAGTTGAATTTGTGTTTAATGCATTTTATATGTTGACCAATGTATGATATGATTTTAAGTTGAAAATGATTAGTAACCTTAACTTTTGAAACTCAATCTAACTTAATTATTCAATCAAATAATTACTTTAGACATATTGAATTATTATTTTATTATATATAATTTAACATGTGGGAAAACTCCTTTTGATTATGAACTCACCTAAGACATTAGGGAGTTGTAGTTAAAATAGGGATATTTACCGAGAAATTGAATGTAACTAATTTGTTAGTTCATCGTGATACTAGGGGAACAACTTTAGAGAATAGAAGTAATTACTAAATATGGAAAAATAAATAATTTGAAAAGGGATGATCGTTTTAACTTATGATACATTTAATCTATTTTATTTTCTTATCTTTTAACCAAGTTCCTATGAACACCACCCCCAAACTTACATCTTTAGTACAATAGTACTGATGATGTATTGAAATTGAACAATCTGTGTGGATATGAAATTTTATTTTATTACTTAACGACAATTTAGTGCACTTCTAAATAAATCATCAAGTTTTTGACGTCGTTGTTAGGGATTGTTGATTAATTTCAACAAGGCAATTAAATTGTACTTGTTTTTTTGAGTTGTTCTTATTTCATTATTGTTAATTTTTCAGTGTTATTAATGCAAATCTATGTGCTTGGAGTTGCAATGTATGCTGCACTCAGATATCCATGATGTTTTTGATGATGAGGACACTATGATGTGAAGTATTCATCAATAAAGATCAAGACGGCCAATGTGTTTTCTTTTGAGAGATCAAGATGCCAAAGCCAATCTTTCTAAGGACAACACCCAATGTCAAGTGGTGTTCGGTGGAATCTTAATGATCTCTAGTCGAGAAATACCTAATGATGATATACATCAAGAAGCCTTATCAAGTATCATCAGATAAAAGAAGTTAAGTCTCAGATGAAGTAATGAATTTATGATGAATCTAGAAAGGGAGCTTGAAGTTTCAAGGATTGTGAAAGAGAGTGAGCGTGAAACTTTATCTGGTCTGTGTCTGAATGATTAGAGTATTACAATGATATTATAGTAATTCTTAAAATACTAAGGCAATACATACACTCAACTAAAATTTTTTTAACTTATCTAAATTTGCTAAAATACATTAAAACTTTTAGAAGAACCATCAAGGTGCTTGTGGGTTTGATCAAGGATGTTCCTAAACTTTTAGGAAGCTTGTATACACTGTCTAATTGATTAAGGCACTTAGCTAATCAATTAGAATAATGCGTAAAGTTTCTTAATTAATTAAGAACACTCATAATCGATTAGGACACTAGTCATTGTAGGCTTTACTTTTTGAGAATTAGGGTTTTCATATATTTGAAGCTCATAACTGATTAACCCTATGATATAATTGATCATGACATTAAAAGGCCCAAGGATCATTTTTCTTTTTGAGCCATATTTCATAATACTTTCTCAATCTCTACTTTCTTATTTATCATTTATCATTTATTTCATAACTCTTGTTATAAGACTAATCGTCTCAGGAGGTAGAATGATGACTACAAACCCTTATGTTATTAACAAAGGTATTTTCATGGATACACCTTCACCATTTGATGGTGAAAGATTTGACTTATGAAAAGCAAGAATTAAAATATTTATTGAAGTAAATGATTTTGATATATAAAATATTATCATCAATGGTCCATTTATTCTGACTTATTACATTAATAATAAAGTATTAAATAAACCATATTTTTAGTGGACCGGAGAAGATAAAAGAAAAGTAAAACTCGGTTTTAAAGCCAAGTACTTAATGATGAGTGCTCTAAGCACCAGAGAGTACTTTTTGTTTGTAATTATTTTTTTGCCAATGAAGTATGGAACACTCTTGATATGATCCATAGAGATTTTACTAAGATCAAACAACAGAGAACGAACATACAAATCTAAGAAAATGAAACATCAAATAAACATGAAGGTGATCTTCAGTGATGATGCTCAAACATCAGAATCCTTTGAGGTTGTGTTAAAAAAATTTATATCTAACATATATCTAAGATTCAAGAATTGGGGCCATAAATCTAACTCAATCATTTATTCGAGAGATAATAGTGTTCTTGTTGAATTTTGGGGAAAATCTAAGAAGAATGAGATCATTGAAAAACTCGACAAATTGATCTAGATGTTAAAGATGAAGGAATGAATTTGAAAGTTATCTTCAACTTCATCATTCCAAGAAATAATTGAAGGATAAATACCAGAAGTCTATTTCAAAAGAACTATCACAACAAATCATGATTGTTTGAAGAATCAACATTCAATGAAATTGGTGAAGAAGTTTCATCTAGTAGAACCTCTGAGAGAAAAAATGATGAAGAAGCTTCGTTAAGTAGCATCTTTGAAAGATTAGAAAGAACGTTTAGAGATTCTTCACATGAAGATGATATAACCTCAAGAAACTCATACAAAGACGTCTTCAATAATATCCCTAACAACACGTCATAATATTCTCTTGAAATGTCCTCTGAAAGAAGGTAATCTGACAAAGAAGAACTTAGATGCCTCAAAGCCACTAGAGAAAACGACGATACTGAGGTGACAAATCTAACTTATAAGCAAATATTTTAGTTAAGTGTTAAATTCAGTAAAGATAATGAGAAGTTAGAAAATAACATCGTTAAATTTAAAGAGTATATAGAATTTTTTTGAAAATAGAAATAAGATTATTGATGAAGAAATTGTCAATATTATGGATCAATCTTTAAATTCGGATAAATGTGAAACATGCAATTCCTTAAAAAATGAAGCAACTAGTTTGCATGAAATTCTAAGAAATTTTATTAAAGGTTAATATAAGCTAAATTTAATTTTATCTAGTCAAAAATCTTCGTTTAATAAAATTGACTTAGGTTATAAAACTAATAAATCATTTAGTAATAGTTATCCTAGAAGAAATTCAATCGTCCTACTTTTAAATTTAGTTTCTGTAATAATTTAGGTCATCTAGAACCTTATTATTATACCAAATTAAAGAAATTAAGATGGTTGAAAGAAAATAACTCTGCACCTTTTAAAGGCATTAACGTAATAAGACTCCAAAAAATTGAATACCAAAGATAAAAAATTAATTTATTTTGCAGGAATGTTTTATACCTTTATAAAGGAGCTAATTAAAAATTTAAAAGAAGTTTTGCAAATCATGAGTATACATTGGGTATGCTAGAGGAAAGATGGATTTGATGTTTGATAAAGATCATATTTGATAATCTTGATGATCTTAAATTAAGATTTTTCAATGTCTCTAATGATCTTGGTGATTGTGGGACTTCGTGGAAGTCTGAGGTGAAAGACGATGTGAGATTTTTATCTCTTTTGAGAAGGTTGAGCCAACATTTGTGATTCAAAGGTGTGATAACATTCATTTTAATGGGGGAGTTTCTCCCAAGATATCTTGAGACAGTTTTTTGGTAAAATATTTTATAAAGATTAAATAAAAAAATATTGATTAAATTTTCTACCAGGTGGTCTTATATATGCTTAGTATATTTTTTTTATCACTAACATAGTTTGGGTATTAGATTATTCAAAGATTTAGCAAGATTGTCATGCAAAATTAAGATTTTTAGCAAAAGGGTGTAATCTTGGTGAGAAAGGGGTGCTGAAAGAAAATGAAAAATCAAACTTAATAGCATCCAAGGCCCAAAAGTCCAATGGAGTTGAAAAAGAGTTTTATAGTAGATTAATCCTAAAAAGCTAATTGATTTGGCGCGACTAAAATTAGAATTTCGCACCATCTAATCGATTAATCCTAAAGGCCTAATCGGTTAAATCTTTTTCTCTTCCTCAAACTCCAACAACTCAATTGGAGATCAATCAAGCCAGAGATTATTTTCTCTCCAAATTTCAATAAAATCAAAATTATCAAATTGGAAGCATTAGAAATCAAATTTTCATAAGATCTAATCAATTATCCAAGGTCATAATCTATTTGAGAGCTCACTTTGAAATGTTTTACAAATAAATCTCTTCAGCATAAAATCAACATGATTTATATGATTTTTCTCAAAAATAAAAGTACTATTCCGTCTCATATTATAAGTAAATTTTATTTTTTAGATTCATCGAATAATTAATATATCTAGTCCATATATAAATCAGATACATTAATTATTCATTAAATCTAAAAAGAAAAATTTACATAAGAATGAGGAAATACATTTGTAAACTTCCATTCATCCAAATTTTCTTCTCTCTTCTCTTGTATATACAATTGTCTACCTCTATTGTTATTATCGTCATAGTTATGGCTCGCATAAAGAGTTTTCATCAATAAGGTTTCCATCAAAGGCTTCCTTTTGAAAAGTTCAAGAAGAAAAAGGTTTCTCCAAATGTCAGGTGCTCAGGTCCTTCTACATGGATGAGAATTTTGTCAATGATTTTTCTCCTTAGGATAATATCTGTTATGGGTTGCGATAATATCTGTTATGGGTTGCTCAGAGAAGTCTTCGTTGAAAAACCAGATATGGAGTATCCAAGGCTTGTTCAAATTTTCTACGCCAACTTCAAGTATGAAGGCATATATATTACATCAAGAATTGGTGAAACTATGATCAGATTCACCATGAAGGAATTTGGGGCCATGTGTAAAGTTCCCGCTAATGAAAAAACCTACAATGTTAATGCTCCCAATGATTCTGTCAGATTCAATCATGTCGTTGCAATAGGAAGCTTCCTTATCAAAGAAATAAGGTATAAGAAACTTTCTCTCAAGACAAAATTCATGAAAGCAACTTGTTGTGTCATGCATCACCTTATGACCCATGTGTTATTCCCGAGGAAGGAAAGTCGTGAACATCAAGGACAACCAAGGACCATCTTCTAAAGGAATGTTTTCAACTCTCGTAGCAATCTCCCAAGGGACTGCTGGCTGTTCAAGAGTTGACCAAGAAAGTTGTGAACATTAAGAAACATGTGTTGGGAAAGAAAATTGCCAATGATGATCATAGCAATTAGTAGATGTCTTGCGTCTTATTTGTTTCTCGTTCTGAGTGTGTTTATTTCCAATTTTTTCCCCACTTTATTGTACTTTGAATTTATTTATGTTAAATCAATAATAAATACGTTTATTTCCTTCCTTTGATTAATCTATCTTGATTTTCTCTGTATTTGAATCTCTTGATCTATTTGCTTGATGATTATAAGAGCGTTAGAAACTGGGTGCGTCCTAATCATTGTGCATATCAATGTGTTCCCTCGACTACGCAGCAATGGCTCTACGAGGAGGATTAACTCAAATAGGTGAGTATCAGAGCTTGAAACCACTATAAATAGAGGGTTCGTCTCCCAAGTATACAAACTTGATATCTCACTTTAATCTTGTTTTCACCCTACCCTAAGTATTGGAGTGTCTTTACAGATACATACAGTTTCCTACTTTGAAGAAGAACTGTACGAGAAGAGGCGGGGAGTAACATCATCAACTCAAGTAACTGTCCGCTTGTTCAATACAAGAATACATAGTATTTATTTGAAGAATGAGAGACACTCCCTTTCGAAAATGGTATTATTCAAATCTTGTGAATGAAAACACAACATGGACAAGCTTGTTTCCTGAACCTCTATAACCTCTATGCACCACTATAATATACCATTTTTAAAACCATTACTTGGATTTATTATGCATGCAATTCTCTTACAGGGCCATGCCAAATTCATCTCTTTGTTGGATATCGATTCAGAGACACTTGAACTTCTTCTAGTGTGCGCCCCTTGGTCTCTGGTACTAGTTTTGCTACAAATAGAACGGTGAGGCCACATATGCTAGAGAACATGAAGAAAGTTCCTGGCAAAAATAACATATTAATGAACTTATTCAACACTCGATAAGCATTCTTTCGGCTCGAGGAATCAGGAGTTACTCGGAACCTACCTGTTGAACTCCAACTCATGAGAAAGTTAAAAGTGTATGATATAATCCAAGAACACAGCCAGTGAACAGATGTTACTAAGCTTCCAGCAGAACCCTTCACATTGATGGGAAATATCTGGTAAAAAATGATTATCTAGTCAAGATGAGAATCTATATTAAGATCAAAATTTTCATATAGTGTCTAAGCATGGAAGGAGCAAATATTACCTCAGACATTATAACCCAGGGTATTCCTCCCATGCCAAGAGAGAACGAGCCCGTAAATACCTGATTTAATATGATAACTAAATGGTGAATATGAATATTATCATATAGTACCTTCTAACAAGCCAGCACAATAGTTATTGAGACCTAAAGCAAATTCTAAAGTTCAGACAAATCATTACCAGTACACCGACAAGTGCAAGAATAGGACTGAACTCTTTCCACTTATGCAAATCCTGTATAGTACAAGTGAAACCATCTAGTGATTTGGAACTAATGTGAAAAGATAACAGAGAAGATTTGTTATTCAGAGAACCTGCAAAAAGAATGACAGAGATACAAGGAAGCATCCTAAGCATGTTCCTGATGCAGAGATCTGTATAAATGTAAGCATTTCAGATTCCGAAATTTACTGAATAGTATGAAAAGAAACTCACAAAAAGCTCAACCGTTTTTACCAGTAAAAGTGGTCGTCTTCCTGTTTTGTCCATCAAAATTACTCCCAAAGCTGTCATTGGTATCTATGAAGACAGAAATACTGAATAGTGTGAAGAGACTGGGTAATGATTCGCCAAAATTGACATCTATGTCGTCTTATTTATCATCATTAAGAAGACAGCAAAAAATACATTATACAAAGAGAATTTATAACCTGAACAATAACCATTGCTATTGTTCCAATACTTCTGGAAAACCCTGCCATGGATAACAATTTTTACTTTCATGAGAATCATGTTATAAATCTAATGTATTTGTAAATCACCTTATTTACATGCCATATGCAATGAACAATGACACAGACACCAAACACATTGACACGGGAAATAGTTTGAGAAAATAGAATAATTCAATTGTGCCAGTATCAGACACCTCACACGTCTTCAATGAGAAGTGTCGGTTACATAGGTCATATAATAGAAACATGAACGAAACCTGCACGTACCAGCAGACACAAATATAGAACTTGCATAAAAAGAAATGCCATTAACCCCTCCAAATTGTTGTAGTATTATCAGGCCAACTCCTACCTAACATTGTAACTAAATACCATAAGAATCAGTAAAAATTTTAGATAAGATGCATGAATTAGGCATAGAAATCTGACAGTAAGTGACTTCAAATACTGTAATTGAAATAATCCAATGATGCTAGCTTCTGTTTGCTGTTGAGAGATTTCTGTAAATTCCTACAAAAAAAGTACAGTGTATAAAATATGTTAACATCTTTTTGGTTTCGTCCTCTTTTTTCTTGTTTCCTAATTAAAATATAACTCAAAAATCAACACTAATGAACAAACGTTTATTATATACTGTAATTTCAATAGCCTCTTCAGAAACATCAGCATTCTTTCCTCTAAGGTGCTGTAACGCAGATTCACTCCCTTCCAAGCGACCAACCTTTGCCTGCAGAAGATTGCAAACTATCACTTGCTTTTTGGATGCAGCACCGAAACTATATAATAAAGGCATGTCTGACACAATACTTACACTTGTGATTACATACGATCACTTTTATTTTCTCAAATTATGAAAAATTTCAGTAGCTTATTTGAATTGTGTCCAACCCAAACAATAAACCTATAACAGCCGTGAACAACTCACCAGCCACCTAGGAGACTCAGAAATAAAGTTCAGACTCAGAAGCTGTGCGAGACATGGAATAGTTCCTGAAATATAGAAAGAAAAGGTTGAGTTGTTGCAAAAACTTCTTAAGTTCATTTTGTGAAAATGAAAGCCAGAAAGAAAGAACATTACCTATTAGAGCCAAAACTCTCCAATTCAAATATGTTCCGATAAGATAAGTTAACGATACTCCAAAACAAATCATTAGCTGTCAAGATTATATAAAATACGGATTTAAATAAGCCAATATGTATCATATATGTAATACATAGGTGATAAGTCACACACAACCTATGGATAGTATTGCTTTACCTGATGAATTGCAGTGAATCCCCCTCGAAGATCCTTCGGTGTTATTTCAGCAATATAAACCGGTACCTAAAACGGAAAGGGAACTACCTATTTGTTGTAATTCTTTGAAGTGGCTAAGTATCATTTGAATTGTAATTATGACAAAATTAAAAGTCGATCAATTTACCACGTAAGATAGAAGTCCCATTCCGCATCCTAACAATAGTCTTCCAACATAAAGCCACCAAGCAACCTTCGAGAATGCTATGGCAAGCCATCCCAAGATGCAGAATAGCTGTGAGAACCCCATAGCCTATGATACCAAATTGAAAAAACAATAAATAAGACAAAAATTTAAACTAATTGTGGTAACATTTTAGGAAATATACGCAGAATTGGAGAAACTTACAAGTCGGCGACCTACATAGTCTGATATGCTGCCACTAACAATGGCTCCAACCATTGCTCCAATGGTCAGTACTGAACCAAAAACTGAATACTGCATAAATGCAACTAGTTTGACTTAGAGAGCCTAATAAATCAGAGCCAAATGAAATCGGTAATAATTGATAAACAAGTGTTTCTGATATTGAAAGAAAGTTCAGACCTCAGCTATGCCAAGACTGAGGTCATCCATGATTCCAGATTGAGCAGGGGATGAATATCCGATCTGCAAAATGAGAGTGTTAGTATATATCATAAACTTGTTTGTTAAATCCCCGCAAAGCATAGAGTCAATGGAAACATACAGCAGAGCCAAAAACATAAGAACCAGAGACAGCAACAAGGGTGCTAAGTATAAGAATACTAGTTGGTACTGAACTAGCTTCTTCACAAATGGAAGAAAGAAGATGAGTTGAAAATTCCCCGATTGGTTCGGTACTTTCATTGTCCATGACAAACTCCACTCAGAACTCAGAACCAGGATCTAAGGTACTGTCAAAGAAGAAAAAATGAGTGTATATGATGTGATGTGTGTATACACAATCTGAAATGATTGGCACTGTTTTTTTTTAAGAAAACGTGAACTTATTTTATTTAAGCTATTGTATTGTATGATAAATTATTTTTGCTACCCAACAAATTCCTTGTTTAAGGTGGCAAATCATCTAAGTAGAAATTTTTGGAAGCCATGTTATTCATGAAGTTTCACATGAGAAATATGATATAAAATGACCCAGTGTATAAAAATAATCCTTTTGTCATCTAATTTATAGTTGTTTTAATATATACCATATGCAGCATGTGCTATCAAAATTAGTGGAGGAGAAATGAGAGGACATGATATTATTTTTTGTCTGACTTTTCTCAATAGAGTTATTAAAAGAAAAAATAATACACATTAAATACAAAATAATTTACACAAGGTAGTGAACTAGTTGCGTATAATACCAATAAAATTCCAAAAAAGAAAACAGAGATGTTTTGGTATAATTTAACACCTATTTCTAAGGATGTGTAAATTGCATTCTGTCAAGAAAAAAAAGTAAAAATCACGAACTATTACAATACAATACTAATTGTGAGACTTGCAAATGCAATTTTCGCACTTTTCCATCTTTGTATGGGCAAGGATGTTTCATGAAACCTTCATTTAGAATTAATCTTCCATTTTTGAAAACTTCTTACTGGGTTTTTTGTACATCGAATTCATCTCTTTGTTGAATTTGAATTCAAAGAAGCTTGAATTTCTTCTAGTGTACGTCCTTTGGTTTCAGGAACTACTTTTGCTATGAATATAACATTGAAGCCGCATACAACTGCAAATCCAAGAAAAGTTCCTGGCCGAACATAACACAATAATCAATTTCATTTCTTATATATTGTACTACATAATCAAAAAAGTTAGACTTGTTCAAGAACCGAGGAATATGAAGATTAAAAGCAAACATGCCTGTTGAACTCCAAGTCATGAGGAAGTTAAAAGCATATGATACAATCCAAGAACACAACCAGTTAACCAATGTTACTAAGCTTCCAGCAGAGCCTTTCACGTTAATAGGAAATATCTGGAAAATGAAATATAACCATTCATTATCATGTTGAAGAACTATTATGTTTGGATTTGTTTTAAGACGAATCTACCTCAGACATTATAACCCATGGAATTGCCCCCATGCCTAGCGAGAAAAATCCGACATAGATCTGGTCATTAACAAAATAAAAAACAGAATTACATTTATCTGTCAATAGATTCATTTATAATCATTTTTATCACATGAAGGAAAACGCAACTGTACAAAGCCAATGAAAGAATCTATGAGAATGGGGCACACCATCAAAGTTTTAGCGAGAACTTTATTAGATGTGCAAGAAATTCTAATAGTATTGTGCAATTAACTAAGATTCTAATACTCGTAAAATAGAGTAGATATTTACTCCATCATTTAGAGCTTGAGTTTAAATTTAGGAGATTTCACACTATAGTCCAAGATTCGACGTGTACGAGGATGATTGCATAAGCGTTATTACCAGTACACCAACAAGCGCCAGAATAGGACTGACTTCCTTCCATTTATGTATGTCCTGCACAAGACAAGTCTAACTCTTATTAGGTGTTGTTTGGATAAACAACTTTATTAAGCATGTATGGGATACAAGTGCTAATGTATAAGGCTATAAGCTAAAATAAATGTTTTTATAAATTATGTTAGAAGTTATTTTCATAAGCTATCCAAAACAGTCTCACAAGTACTTGTACCAGTATATAAGTTTAAATAAGTCAATCTAAACAGACCTTTATTAATAATTCATCCGGAAAAACATTTATTAGAGCATATATTTTGGTATTAGAACCTGCAAGAAGAATGACAGGGCTACGAGGAAGCATCCTAAGCAAGTTCCCACTGCAGACAACTGTGTAAGTGTCAAAATTTCGGATTCAGAATTTATAAAACATAGCAAAATAAGAAGGAATACAATCTCAAACGTATTACCAGTAAAAGTGGTCGCCTTCCAGATTTATCCAGCAAAAATACTCCTAAAATTGTCATTGGAATCTACAAACACAAATGATGAAATTGTGTGAAGAGACTCTGGAGTCAGTAATGAAGTGTGAGTACATTCTCTTATACAGAATTAGACCAACATAAAGGATGAAATTGTGTGAAAAGAAGAGAATTAAGAACCTTAACAGCAACCATTGCTATTGTTCCTATACTCTCCGAGAACCCTGTCATAGATAAGAAATTTTGCAGTTGTATGAATCATGTTGTCGTAAATCTAATATCATTGCATCCGTCTTCTTTCATTTGTTGTATAGTAGTAAAAATAGTATTGGCATAGAAAAGAACCTGCACATACCAGCAGAGGTAAATATAGAATTTGCGTAGAAAACAATGCTATTAATCCCTCCAAACTGTTGTAGTATCATCAAGCCGAGTCCTACCTAAACGAAGTAGGTAAATATCGTAAGAGTCTGCAAAAAAAAATTAAGATATGATCCATGAATAGGACTAATTTAGAAAGCTCACTGTAAGTGACTTCAAATATTGCAATTGAAATAAGCCAATAATGCTAGCCTCTGTTTGTTGCTGAAGGGTGTCGGTATAATCCTACAAATAAAAGTACAATTCATCCGATGATATACTAATCCATTTGGCTTATTCCTTTTGCAACAAGAGTGCATTCTAAAGAACAAAAACTAATTACATACTCTGATTTCATTGGCCTCTTTATAAACATCAACATTTTTTCCTCTAAGGCGCTGTAAAGAAGAATCACTCTCCTTCCAGCGGCCGACCTTTGCCTGTAGAAGACACAAGTATCACCTGATGACATGTCTTGACTCAGACAAAATTAATGATGAAAAAACTCCAACTGCTTGGGCAGGCCGCCTCCAACACATAAGGCCCCAAACAATCATATCACAGACAACTCACCAGCCACCTAGGAGAATCCGGGATAAAGGGAAGACCGAGAAGCTGTATAAGACAAGGAACAACTCCTGAGATAGAAATGAAAAGGATGAGAATTACATCAAACACTTGGTTTTGTTTTGTGAAAAAAACACCAAAAAGAATAATGTCACCTATTAGAGCCAAAATCCGCCAATGTACAAATGCTCCAATAAGATAAGTTAATGACATCCCACAGCTAATCATTAACTGTCAAAATAAAATAAATATAGATTTGAAATGTGCCTACACGTGCTACAATGACATACAAAAATACAAGGTACACCAAAAAAAAAAGAGCGAATTGATATTATATCATTACAATATTGCTTCACCTGATGAAGTGCAGTGAATCGGCCTCTAAGATTCTTTGGTGTTATTTCTGCTATATAAACTGGTACCTATTATGTAAAGGGAAGTATTTACTTGTAATCTTTCAGTGACTGAATATCGTTTTAATTGCAAGCATAGCAAATAACATGTGTCACAAAAGTTACCACATAAGATAGCAGGCCAATCCCAGATCCTACCAACACTCTTCCAATGTAAAGCCACCAAGCATCCTTCAAATAAGCACCACTAAAGATTAGATATCAACAACTGAACTTGAGGAAACCCGTGGAAATAAGAAGAGAATTCAATTGATAGAATCTTAGTAGGTCACATTTTGTAGCTCAACTTTGTCTATTTGTTTCTATTTTGTAAATGACATTGATGTCCCCTCAACTACACTCAGAATAAGGGTGTCAGTTAAACAAACCTAAAGAGATGGGAATGCAATTTCTTCAATAAATGAGGATCCAGAGATGAGTACTTGTTTAAAAAAACAGAAAAGTGTGTGTATAGCATTAGCATATCTTAGGAGAGCTAAGTTTAACTTCTCCTAGTTATTATCATGGCTTATACTTCAAATTACCAACAACAACAATCAAGCCTTTGCCCACTAAAGTGGGGTCGGCTACATGGATCAAATCCCGCCATAACGTTCTATCCAATACCATATTTCTGTCCAATTTGTTAATCTCGAGATCTTTCTTAATAGTTTCTCTTATAGTTTTTCTAGGTCTTCCCTACTTATAGTTGTTTGAATCCTCTCCATCTGATTTACTTTCCTTACGACAGAAACTACGAGTTTTCTCTCTACATGCCCAAACCACCTGAGTCTATTTTTTAATATTGTCATTTCTAATCTTATCTCGTCTAGTCTTACCACACATCCAACGCAATATTTTTTCCATGGAAGTCCTTTACCCATTCCTTGGAATAAATATAAGTTGTGTACTTGCGTTAGCCATGTTCGATTAGTGTGTACGCAGCAAGCATAAAGAAAATGTTTTAATTCCAACATTAAGTAAATAAGAAAGCACAATGTGATATTTAAGCCATGAGGCTCTTCCACCTAATGGATCAATCTTTTCAGTAAGGCTGTTCTCATGAGCCAAATTCACAACCGAAAACTATGGAATTCAGAAATAAAGTGGAAGAAATGAACTACATACCTCTGCGATTGTTATGGCAAGCCATCCCAAAATACAGAATAGCTGTGAGAATCCCATAGCCTGCTCAGCATAACACAAATTAACCAAATTCAATTAACGTCGAAAACAACATCATCCAATTTAAAATAAACACAGAAGCAAAACATACAATCCGTCGACCAGCGTAATCTGCTATTGTACCACTAACAATAGCACCAATCATGGCTCCAATTGTCAAAATTGAACCGAAAATCGAAAACTGTGCAACACCGAGATTGAGGTCAATCATGATTCTAGATTGAGTAGGGGACGAATACCCGACCTGCAAAACAAAACCAGTAGTGATTGAGATTTTTTGTAATGTATTTTGTCGAAAGAAAATACTGAATTAGCTTACAGCGGTTCCGAAAACGTAAGAGCCAAAAACCGCTACAAGAGTGGTAAGTGTGAGAGCCGGTGATGGTACAGAAGAAGTTGCATTCTGCTTCTGCTTCTGTCCTTCGTCATCATCGGAATCACGCTGTTGCGATTCGGCATTTCCTCGGAATAGAAGAGGTCTTGAGGATTCAATCCTTTTAGTAGGAAAGAGATTCAGAGATTAGTTATAGTTTTTCTTTGTGTATAAACCGGTGTCGTCAGCGCGCAACTGCTTGAGACTAATTCATCGAGGCTTATAGTTAGTATAGAGAAAAAGTTAGTTATGAACGATTGAATACCTATGGTGTTGAGTAAAACTGGTGGTGGGGAATTGGATATTGTTGTTTTGAACGAACATCGTATGCTGCGGTGGCGCTGCCGGAAGAATCTGATCTGATTGGTATTTTGAAATTGCACGGTGGTTTAGATACGTGCGTGTGGTGTGATAAGGATGCGTGAATATAGAAAAATTGTTGAAATTTCAACCTATCATTAGAGTGAGGTTGGATTAAAGAGTGGGTACATGCAAAACTAATACTCGGGTTGGTAAAAGGGGCTACGATTATATAGATCCGATACAGTTAGTAAGATGTTATGTCTCCAAAGGTCCATGAAAGAGGTGTCTTGCATATGTGGTGTTGTGTATAGAAAAATCGCATGAAAGAGGTGTCTAGCATTCGTGCCTTTTAATGCAAGATTGATTTCAAAGTTGGTTAGGTTTAAAGGTAATGTTTGGATAGATTCAAACGTCGGAAATGAGCATGATGATGAAATGATGAATAATGAGATTTTATTTTTTTTATTTGTAAATATTGTGGGGGGAATGGAATGGGATCTATTTTATCTCGTTCTATTTGATCTTCTATTTTTCTTTTTATTTCATGTGATTTATGGTATATGCAATGGAATAAGATATTTTTAATGAAATAATAAAATAATGGAATAAGATTTATAATTCATTTCTGATGTTACCGGATCAGACGTGGACCGTCACGACTGGCTCCGAGCTGAAGTTGAACGAGATGGGGGTACCTGCAAGGCACTCCGATGCTAAAGTAAGTGGCAGTACGAGCAGGCAAGAAAGTGTGTGTATGGTAAAAGAATGAATACCCGACCCTTTGGGAACAAAGGGTATTTATAGCTCCCAGCGCTGGGCCAAGGTCCCTTCATTGGGTCGGTCATGATTGACCCAATAAAGGAACTCCCAGGTTCTACGTGTGTAGTGGGGACCCGCACGTGGTCTCCTTCCTGGATGTTCTGCGAGAAGAACGGACGAGGACGCGGTCTTTTCGGAATTCGGGTGATGGTGTAATGGTCATAGTCTGCCCTACGAGGGGTGCTCGAACTGGACTGCGTATCATCGAGGATGTTGCGTTCGCGGGCAGTGGCGGGCACGGTTGTAGCTTCTTGGTCGGCGCGACCTCCTGTAAAGCCGTTTGGATTGGGCCTTCATCCCTGCTCTTGGGCCAACCCGGGCTCAGTCCAGAACAGGAGCCCCCCAAGTCGTGGCTCCTGGAGTAGGAGTCATGACTTGATCTTAGTTCGCCTCTGTCACGAGGTCTCGTGCTCGGTCAAGAGATTTGGTTCCCCGTGGTCACCTGAGGAGTTTCCCCTGTGTCGCGCTCGTGAGATAATTCCTTTCGAGGAGTACTCGGGGGACTCTCGTCGGGCTGTGTTCGTCGAGCACACGAGGCAACCCTTGGGAACCGTGGCGCCACCCTATTGAAGATAGGGTCATCATTGCCTAGGGGAGCTATGCGTCGAGGAGGGAAGTTCGTGGTTCCCCGGGGTGACGTTTTGTATTCCACGTCATCACTATAAATAGGGTCCTTGGGCCCCATAATATGTTTTTCCTCTTCGCGCTTCTCCTCCTTCCTCTGCCCCTGCTGCTGCTGTTTTTTCCAGATTTTCATAGGACCCGCCTTGCTCTCTGCCGCTGATTTTCTTCTCCGCCGCCGTACCTCTTTCCTGATTTCAAGTAAGCGTCTTATCCCTCATGTTTTTCCTCTGTGGTATACGATATTTTCCATTGTTTTATACGTTAGAGACTGTGCGTCTGGGATTAGCCCCAGTAGATTTGTATTTTCGCTCGGCAGATCCATGTTTGTGCCCGGTAAACGCATAGTTTAGGTATGTGACTCCCAATGCTGCCTGGGATCTTCATGATTCAGGGCGCCTAATTCGTGATAGTGCCCGGTAAATTCATAATTCTAGTTTTAGGATTTATGATATCGCTCGCCATGTCCATAGCCTAGGTCGACATATTCGTGACTGGCCGGGATGTTGGCCCATTTAGGCAATCTGTAGGAAGACTTGTCGCGGTATCTTGGCGTCGGGGAGGTGACTACACTCTTTTGTTCAAAACTTCAACTTTTTAATCGTGTGTGGAGTGTGACTCAGTTTGTCGTGCCCTTCTTCCCGTCAGTTATGGCGAGCGTGAGGATTTGCTCCCCAATTGACCGGTTTCCTGTGCTTTGCAGGTAACAATGGCGGATGAACCGTGTTCCTCGGGGCGCAATGAGGTGGAAGATCAAAGCGCCGAGGAGAATGTGAATCTGGTCGATACCATCGACGATCCTCTGCTGGAGTGGGTGGGCGCCGAGCCCAGAGGGATTGCTTATGCTTATAGTCGGTCCAGTCGGAGTGCGTATACTATCGTCGAGTAGGGCGGTAGTCAGCCCGGCTTTCAGAAAAACTTCATTGTCACCAGACCGACTCTTACCGCGTGGATCTGCTCGGAGTTCCCCGAGTACGGGTTTCCCATGTATGAGATCGCTTTTAAGGACCTTGGACTAAAGCTCCCCTTTAGTGATTTTCAGGTCGGGGTCTTTAGTCATCTGGAGCTGGCCCCGTCGCAGCTTCACCCCAACTCGATTGCTTTCCTCCGGGCGTTCGAACTGACGTGTCGCTTTTTAAGGATTGGGGCGACCATACCTCTCTTCTTCAGAGTCTTCCATTTACAGCGCAAGTCTCTGGGAGGTAGGCACAACTGGGTTTCCCTGAAACAGTCGAAGAGACTATTCAGGATGTATATGGATTCTGTCCGGGGGTTCAAGGACAAATGGTACATCGTGCGGTCGGTTACCAAAACTGGTTTAGAGTCTGTATACGAGGAAGAAACGGTGGTGACCGACGATCACGGGGAGGCTCTTCTAGACGATGAGGGACGCCCGGTGTTGGGGCGTGTGTCCAAGTTTCCTTTGCATTGGACCTCGCGTCACTACGAGTACGGCACCTGGCACTACCATACGCCCGCGGGTGGGATGAGCACCGAAGATGAGGAGGCCTATGTTACCCTCTGCAGATATGTCGATAGTTTCTTCCCTGCCCGGTGGGCCACGAGGGAGGGAAAGGATATTCTCGATGAAGATGGTTATCCGACCTTTGAGGCCCGACCTATCGATACGAAGGCACTCGTGGAGTGCCAGTCCTTCGGGCAGGCCGTGAACCTGCTAGGTCATTATTTTTTTTCCTTGTTTGAATTTTTTTGCTTGTTATTTGCTCATCACTAACCCGGGATTCTTTTATGTAGGTCTCATGGCTGGACGAAAGGAGAGGCTCCTAAAGCTGACACAGGATAAGAAAGTCAACAAGAGAGTGGTGCGAGCTCCTCAGGCGACGAGGATGGGCCCGACAACCAGCCCGGGCGATGCTTCTGGAGGGTCCCTGGACGCTCAGGATGTTGAGCCGTATATCGACCTGATACCGAGGAAGAGGAACCGGGTGGAGAGCCAACCAGAGGTCGACGAGGAGTCTGGTGCGGTGAGGTCCTTCGGGTTGCCCCCCTGTTTTAAAGAGGAGGGTTTCTTCGAGGGATTTCCCTTGTCCGTAAGCGCCAACGAAGATGACACCATTAGGCGGTTGAGCAAGGAAAATCAGAGAAAGCATTTGGCCGCCAACATGGTCGGGATGGTCAAAATGGCCGAGATGGTCGTTGTCCTGGCTGAGGAGGGGGCAGATTCTGATCGCATCAAGGAGCTAGAACAGGAGAAAGCTGCCCTTACTGCAAGCTCACGAAAGTTGAAGGCTGCCCTGGAGCGCTCTGAGGAGATGTTCCGCGAGCAAGCCGAGTTGTTGGCCGCGGAGAAAGAGAACTCGGGGAAGATTGATGAGGAGAGGGAGTACTTATGTGAGGACCGGGAACGCTTGGAAATTTACAACGGGCGCCTCGCCAAAGAGGTCGAGGAACTAAAGGCCTCCATGCTCCCTGCCTAGGATGAGTCGGAGGAGACAGCTCCTTTGCGGAGTCGGTCGGAACTGGTCGCTCGTATTCAACTCCTCGAGGCGGACTATGTCGGTGCTTTGGCGGATGGCTTTGAAGCTGCGGTTAACCAGCTCGCTCTGTTGAATCCCGATCTGAATACTGAAGGAGTGGGCTACATGTCTCATATCATCGACGGCCAGGTCGTGCCTCCGCCCGAGTCTCCTGTTGTCGGTGGTGATAGCCCCGGGGAAGTCTAGCTGTGAGATCTTAGTCGGGCTTATGCGCCTTTTGATGGTTGTTTTTGGGCCATGCGTGCCCGTGCATGTTTTACTTTTTGGGCATGCGTGCCCGCTCTTGTACTTTCCGAACATCGTCGGCCTTCTTGGTCGGTTTATTTCTATTTATTTTGTTGCTCATGAGCTTTTTGAATGAATGTTTGTTTCGACTTTGATTATTTGCTCGTGTTTATGTCTTGATATTTTGTGATAGAACTTGCCTAAGTTATGGCCCCGAGTCTTGCCCGTGTGTGGTTGTGACTTTGTTGGCAAATTTGCCTAAGTCTTTTGTTCGGGACATGCTTGTGCTCGGATTTCTATTCGGTGGCGAAATTCGCCTAAGTAACGACCTCGACGAGAGATTCTTTTTCGACCCTTTGGATGGTCTAACGTTCTTCGAGATTCGTCGGGCTTGCGGAGCGAAGCCGTTTGTTCGGCGTATAACCCGGATCGGGGTTGCTTACCCGTGGTGTGAACTGCCCATCGCGAGCTGGGTGTTCTGCCCTACAGGTACTTCGACGGTGGAGCTCGATTGAGGTGTCCACGTCGGGCACTATCGTTCATGCTCGTCTGCTGAACGACGTTATGTTGTTTGGGCGTAGGTTGGTGTGATCGGTGGAAATAGAACTGACTGTTTTTAGCTGGTTTCGCGAAATGTCGCGGTAAGCAAGAGTCGCCACCGTCTTTTATGTTCTCCAACATGGAAAGGACAAAAGCACAACAAAATTCCTTATTCGAGAATGTTTCTCGGTTCGGGAGGTAGATTTATAGAAAGGGAAGGTGTTAGCACCCTTTCTATCCATGGTTATCCATGGGCTCTTAGGTATTTGCTCTTATGTTTTCAAAAGATGTTTGCTTTTCAAGTGTGTGTGGGTTTTG